CAGCCTGAAATTCTCCTATCCTGTTTTATACTAGTATATTCAAATATTGAAGTGAACTGTGTTCCCCCTACCAGGACTGCTGTTGAAAGGATTCTGTTCTAAGCTGCATGAGCAGTGTCATGAAAACCACATGTTCTGGGAGTACAATGGAAACTTGTTCTCAAACATATGCGTATGCATAATCAAAGTCAGTCATTGAGCTCTATTTATACAGATATTTTGAACTGCAAACCAGAACTGTGTTAAATTAAAAAAAAAAAAAAAATAGATCAGTAGAGCAACTTAATTTTATGGTGGATTTCGAAGTTTGTTACTTGGACTGTATTTTCTCCGAGTTATAGATGACCTACAGCTTTGATTAGGTTTTTTAGCAAAGTAAACATACCATGTCAAAGTAATTAAGGGTAAATGTCATGCATGTTGACTGACCTGAGTACTCATATTTCTGAACATTTCTGTTAACATGCCCATAACCCACTGTTACCACATAAATCTTTTCTCAGACTAGTTGAAAATGATGTCTGAACTCTGTTGTTGAAAAACACATTTTTGCTGCATGAAGCAAAATATAAGATGAAGAATAGCAGAAGAACTGATATAGTAAATTGGGGCTTTTTGTGTCCAGGAATAATTATTTAGATACTGATTATTCTAAAGATACAATTAACAATCTAAACAAGCTCTTTATTCCCCCTTATGGATTTGAGGGGATAACTGGGGGGGAGGGAATGAAAACAGATGCTGAAAAGAAAAGAGGGATTTAATAAAGAGATAATTATTTCATTTTTTTTCTTAATTTTTTCAGCCAATGTGTGATAACCATGATGATGGTGAAACTGCTGCAATCATTTTATGTAACGTCTGTGGGAATTTGTGTACAGATTGTGACCGATTCCTTCATCTCCATCGGCGAACAAAAACTCATCAGAGACAGGTAGAGTATACATGGCATCATGTTGTGTGCACTGCATACATTCTATGCATTTCCCCAATTAACTTATAAGCAAAAGGCAGTAGCAAGAACCAAATCTGAAAAGGTATTTTCTTCTCTGTTTGCAATGGAATAGATAAGTTTCCATTTAATTGTTTTTAGTTAAGTTAACTTGTCCTTCGGCTTTTGAAGAAGATTGGAAAATCATGTAGCAGTCCTTAATTCTAACTCTTATGCTACATCAGCTTTCTTCACTCTAGTTCTAACATTGTTTAGGAACATTTTTTAGGAAAATCTAGAAACTGTGTAGACTTTCTTAAGTATAGATTGGTTTTTTATTCCTGTTAAATTATATCTCCTTTACCACTTCTATCATATTAAGTCAGTGCCAATCAACCCCTTCATTTTTACTGTATATACATTTTTTTAATATCCAGGAAGACCACTTTGACAAGTATTCCTACCAGGTCCCTTTTGTCAGTATCCTCTTACTTTTCAGTATTCCTCCAGCTCTCACTGTCTTTTCACAGAGAAAAATGTTGTCATGCCCATAAGCTTGAAAATTTCCTGTTTTCTTTTGATTTTGTTTTTAGGATTGAAATTTCTTTCTTCTTTTACTTACCTAGAGGAGTTTTTAGAAATGGCTTTTTACTCTGCTAATTAGTGTTCCTTTGTGTTTTTCTCTTATCCTCTTCATCTCAAAACCTACATTCTCCTTGAAATATTTTTTTTTCTTATTGAAATGACTGTTGAAGATGCCTTTACTTATGAAACTATGGAACGTTTCCTCTTTCTTGACACTATTTTTCCTTTGTGTTTTTTGTGATCCTTTATTTTCCCCTTTCCCTCTTGACACTACTTCTGTTTGCACAAAGGCTAAAATAATAAGCCCTGTTAATAAAGTTAATTCAATGGAAATCATTCCTCTACTCCCTCTCCTAGAGTGTACCTCCATTTGCTTTTTAGTTAGGATCAGGAAGGGCTTTTGAAGCAGATCTCCTTACCTTGCTTTGATTGTTGTAGAGCAGCCTTGGAGTGCATGAATTGGAATTCTTTTCAAGTGAAACTAAAAACAATTGAATAAGATAGATGCAGGGACACCCTGCTAATGGTCATTCAGTGCAAGGGATCAGCTAGTCTAGGGTATGCGTGATAAACTTCAGATCACCGGCAGAGAGTTTCACTCTACGGATCTTCTTGGTGGCTCAGAATTTACAGCAGACGTGCAGCTTGGAAGTTCCACGTGCATCTGTGATCTTCTATTTCTTAGCCAGAATCCTTGAAATTTTCCTGTTTTGTCATCCCAAGATGATTATTTTATATGTCTACTCTTCTGTCATGGCACAGCACAGTCTAGTCTCATTTATTTTTCTGATTTCTCCTATATAGCCTGTTCAGATTACAGTTGATAAAAAGTAAGTTCTTATCTTATAGAAGTCCTCACATGTCGCCTTTAATCTGTCCGAAATAGCTACTTATCAGATTTTCCTATTTACTTCTGAAAGCATGTTTAAACTTCTACTCTTTATTCACCACCTTTACCTTTACATCTCTCATGTTAATCCCCTCAATTTAAATTTTAAATTCTGTCATGTCCCCTGTCTCCTGTTTTCTGTTAGCTTCCTGGTTTTTGTCCAGCTTCTGTCATACATCCCTCTCTAATGTATTTTCTCTTCCTCCAGGAAAGGACAGCCTTTAAGTTACTATGACCTGCTTATGCAAATCCATTGAAGCAATTGGGATTTTTTTCCTGATTCTAATAAGAATGAAAACAGAGTTTAATTGAGTGTATACATCCACACCCAGGAAAATTCTAATTTATATTGCATTGCAGGTGAAATGAGTGAAAACAGAACTGCCTTCAAAACTTAGGAAAGGAGTAAAATAAGAGATTGTATAAAGTCCACTAAGGATCTCATGCAGTTTTTTAATTTTGCAAAAATGCTGTATTTTCCTCATTGTAGCCAATAGTGTCCACTGAGTATTTATGTGAAACTCAAATATTAATATTACACAGTTAAATAATTGTTATTATATATTACATATTATTAAGACCATAATTATCTTTGTTACTTGATAAGCTACTAGCATGGTTATGTGAAGATATTTCTAACGTTGTCGTGTGCTTTTAATATACTGTGGCCTGCTGGATGAGTTGAGTAGTAGTTATGAAGTCCAAGCTCCATATTTTTTAAATTACAAAAATGTTATGCAGCTCTCTTGTTATCATTGCTGCACTACTGTTTCCCAGACATGTTAGCTCAAGCGTTAATTTTATGTATTTCTACTTTTAAAAACACAAAGCCTTTATCTGTCCATTCTGCAATATGTACAAATTATGGAATGCATAAAAAAAACCCCAGCTTGCAGTAGGCAAACTCTGCAGAATCTATAAAATATCTGATGAAAATCCAAAGAGACAGTGCCAAGAATAACGCAGAGATGCTCTTTATTATGTGTTTGGTTAACCTAACAGGTATTCAAAGAAGAAGAAGAAGCAATCAAAGTTGATCTCCACGAGGGTTGTGGTAGGACCAAACTTTTCTGGCTGATGGCATTAGCAGATTCTAAAACTATGAAGGCTATGGTGGAATTTAGAGAACAGACAGGTAAAAACACAACTGTTACTTCTTGCTCTTTATCCTGATTATTTTTACCTTTTACATGAGCATTTGTCAAAAAAAAAAAAAACAAACCATACAGTTGGGGTTTTGACCTGCTTTAGAGCAATGCTTTTAATTGTTTATTAATAAAAATAAAATAGTTTGACTGCATAAGAATTGCTGGTTCTCTGGTTGTTTTCTCTGATTGTTGTTCAAATGTCTGTTGTTAGCATATCAGTCCCTTAAGTTTCATTGCAGCAGTCTTTGGTTTTGTTTACTTTTGCGGACCTAGGCAAACCGACCACCAGCAGTTCTGAAGCGTGTCGCTTCTGTGGCTGTAGGAGTGGAACAGAATTATCGGCAGTGGGAAGCGTTTGTTCTGATACCGATTGCCAGGTGTGTATTAACAAATATCAATCATGGTGAATTAGGTAAGCAGAAGGGACAGAAGCATCAAATAGATTCCTTATTTTGAGTACACCTTGTTCACCCCTGTGGTCCATTTTAAATCAGACCTCTCATATGCAAAGGTTGGAATATTTAATATTATATTGATATTCAAATAATTATGAGTTTGTAAATGTTTAATTTAATTACAGGCTATAAACACTAATAGTCAAACAAAATACTAGGTAGTTTATTATCTTTGAAAGTATCTCAGGTTTTCACAGTAGTGTTCCAAGTATGAAGTAAAATATACACTGTTAACATGAAGTCTAGCATACTGGAAAGCTTGATGGAAGTAGTTTGTGTAACAGCCTGTTTATTATGTGAGCATAGAACACTTAAGACTTGGCCAGGTTTGTCAACTGTATCCATGTCCCCTGAGTGTTTTTGTGCCCTACAGTACATGCACAATTGGCAGAGGGCCAAATCCTAACCAGTTTCTCATCCCATCCTGTTTATTTTTGTTTATGTGTGGCAAATTTGTCTTCTCTCTTAGCCTATTGAATATGTTCTATTATTGATAATTAAGTTCTATTTGTTGATAGCTTCTGGGAAACTTTTATAAGTTTTCTACTTACTAGGGATTAGGAATTAGAGGTGGTTAAAATACCATTTCCATACATAAAAGTGCTTTATGCTGGTTAATGATCAGCTCATAATGTGTTCTTCAGAGTGGGTTGCTTCATACTTTACCTGAAGAACCTAAATTGGCAGATACCTTAAAGGCTGTTAACAGAGGGCAAGCAGTGTTTCTGCAGGAGGCAATTAATATACAAAATACACATGGAAAATTAAAGAATATTTCTCTTTATATTAAAATTTATATATTAATTAATCTATATATTAAAATTCAAAGTTAAAATTTAAAAATTATGGCTTCATTATACCATTGCTATTCAGGAGTAGCGTAAGCAAATGGAGGTATCAGTTCTACTTCAAGTACACAAAATGTGCAGTTTTTCCCCAAGTACCTGCTGCAGCAGTAGACAACATGAATCATGATTCTTTCATCTCAGTTTATTGCACAAAGCAGCAATCCTTCAAAAAGCGACACTATAGCAAACTGTTCAGTGGAGGGGAAAAAAAAGATTAATTATTTACTTTTAATAGGAGTATGCTAAAATTGCCTGCAGCAAGACACACCCCTGTGGTCATCCATGTGGAGGCGTTAAGAACGAAGAGCACTGTTTGCCATGCTTGCATGGCTGTGATAAGAACGCTACAACTCTTAAACAAGATGCTGATGACATGTGCATGATCTGCTTTACTGAAGCACTTTCAGCAGCACCAGCTATCCAGGTTTGTCTTTTGTTTCCTCCTTTTAAGAGATTATGTTTGTGATGTTAAGTGTGGAAGAAGTTAAAATACAAAGTCCCTCAAATTGTACTCCTAAAAATTTCAAAACGGGCATCGTAACAATGCAGAAGTTACTTAAAAAGCTTTATTTTAGTCTGGCATTACTGCTATTTCGAGAAAGCAGATTGTCTCAATTCAGTTTCCTGTGTTGATTTAACATATATGGTATTTTATAAATGAGAAAAACAACTGAGATAATTAATAGATATAATTCACACATATTTCCTATATCCACTGGTGGGTTTGGAGTGGAAAGGTTATGATTTTAATGACCATTTTGTATTATTTTTAAGAAGAAAATAAAGGTCTTTTAGGATTAAAAATAAATTAATTTTGGAATTTATATATGTTGCCGCTTAAAAGCAAGTAACAACTTCTCTTTTAGTGGTTGATGTCACTTCAGTGCTCTCTAACACGTATTCTTTCCTAAAGCTGGACTGCAGCCACGTTTTCCACTTGCAATGCTGTCAGCGAGTACTAGAAAACAGATGGCTTGGGCCAAGGATAACTTTCGGCTTTATGTCCTGTCCTATTTGCAAGGTAAATGAGCTCTGTGTTCACTGCCTAGGTCACACAAGCTACCTAATACTGTCTTTGGTTTTCCTTTGTGGGTTTTTTGGGTGGTTTCTTTTTTGTTGTTTTTTTTTTT